AAAAACTGTGGCATAGAAAAAATGTTTGCAATCATCACTACTCTTTAGCTCAGAATTTTTTTCTCATGCCAAATGGAAACCTAGACCCATTAAATAGTCACTGCCTATTCCCTCCTGTGTGCATAGATTGTGTTGCGTTTATCCATTCATCTGATGTTGGACATTTGGGTTCTTTCCACCTTTTGGCTATCATGGACAGTGCCACTGTGAACACGGGTGCATAAATTTTTGTTCTCCCACCCGAACTGAATTATTTCAGGTATAGCGTAAGAGTAGCAGTGCTGACATGTGGTACTTCCACGTTTAACTTATTGAGTAACAAACTGTGTTCCACAGCAATGACACCATTTGGCATTCCCAACAGCAGTGCATGATGGTTCTACTTTCTCCATTATCCTCACCGACACCTGCTGTCTTCCACTGTTGTCATAATGGCCGTCCCAGTGAGTATGAAGTGCTATCTCATTGTGGTTTTGATTTGAGTTTCCCTGATGACTAAGGATGTTGAGCACCTTTTTACATGCCTGTTGGCGATAAGTGTATCATTTCTGGAGAAATGTCTTTTCAAATTCTTTGCCCATTTTTTATTTGAGTTGTTTGTCTTTTTGTTGTTCTGTTGTAAGAGTTCTTTATATCATCTATGTATGATATATGTAATCTTTATAATTTATATAATACATAATACACATAATCTATATAATCTTTATATAATCTAGACTCTTATCAGAAATGTGATTCACAAATATTTTCTGCTGTCCTGTGAGTTGTGTTTTCCCTGTCTTGATAGTATTCCTTGATACATAAAAGTTTTTAATTTTGATGAAATCCAACCTACCTATTTGTTCTTTGTTGTTGTCATATCTAAGAAATCTGCCAAATCCATCATCATGAATATTCATTCCTGTGTCTTCTTCTAAGACATTGATTATTTTAGGTTTTATGCTAAGGCTGTTGATCCATTTTGAGTTAACATTTGTGTGTTTTGTGAGGCACGGGCTCAATGTTGCTCCTTTGCATGTGGGTTTCCAGTTGTTGCAATACCATTAGTGAAAGACAGTTCTTTATCCATAAATGGGTTTGGCACCCTCATCAAAACTCAATTAGCTGTAAATATATGGGTTTATTTCTGAACTCTCAATTCTGTTCCATTGGCTTATATGTCTATCCTTATGCCAATACCACACCAAAGATTTGTAGTAAGCCTTGAAGTGTCATCTGGAAAGTGTCAGTGTTCTAAATTTGTTCTTCCTTTTCCAGATTGTTTTGGCCTTCAAGGTCTCTTGCAATTCTAAATGGAATTTAGGATGAACTTTTCCATTTCTGCAGAAAAGGCTGTTAGGATTTTGATAGGGATTATACTGAACTTGTGGATCCCCCTGGGGAGAATTACCATCCTAATAATATTAAATCATCCAATCCATGAACATGATCTATCTTTCCACTTTTTATGTCTCCTTAATACCCTTCAGCCATCTTTTACAGTTTTCAGTGCACAAGTGTTGCCTTAAGTATTTTATTATTTTGGATGCTATCATAAATGAATTGTCCTCATTTGTAGATTATAGTGGATAGAGTTAAACCGATTTTTGTGTATTGATGTTGTTTCCTCAAGCTAGCTAGACTCATTAATTAATTCTATTACTTGTTTGTGGATTCTTGAGGATATTCCACATGTCAGATCATGTCATCTGCAAATAGATTTACTTCTTCCTTTCCAATATGAGTACCTTTTATTTCCTTTTCTCACTTAATTGCTCTCACTAAGAGAACTCACAGTTGAATAGAAGAGGTAAGAGTAGATATCCTTGTCCTGTTCCTGGTCTTGAGAAGAAAGATTTAGTCTCTGTCTGTTAAGTACAATGCTATCTGTGGGGTTTTCACATGTGCCTTTTATCAGGCTCAGGAAACTCCCATTTGTTATGGACTGAATTGTGCTCATCCTAAATTCATATGCTGAATTGTGCTCATCCTAAATTCATATGTTGAAGCCATAACCCTTAATGTGACTACATTTGGAGATAGGGCCCTTCAGGAGATAATTAAGGTTAAATGAAGCCATAAGGATAGGTTAATCCAATAGGACAGGTAATCCAACAATAAGAGACACTAGAGTTCTCTCTCTCTCTCTTTCTCTGCATGTACACACAGAGGACAGGTCATGTGATGAGAACACAAGAAGTTGGCCATCTGCAAGTCAGAAAGAGAAACCTCACTAGAACCAAACATGATGACAAATTGACCTTGGACATCCAGTCCCAGGAACTTTGAAAAAATAGGTTTATATTGTTTAAGCCACCTAATCCCTGGTATTTTGTTATAGCAGTCCTGCCAGGCCAACGTACCATTTATTCTTAGAGGTTTTTTTGTTTGTTTTACTTTGCGTTTAGTGTTTCTTTGAACCATGGAACAGGTTACATTTTTGTCAAATGCTTTTTCTGTATCAATTTAGATGATCATTTTTTACGCTTTATTTTATTGATATATTGTATTACACTGATTGATTTTTCTTTTTCTTTTTTTTTTTTTCAACGTTTTATTTTTATTTTTGGGACAGAGAGAGACAGAGCATGAACAGAGGAGGGGCAGAGAGAGAGGGAGACACAGAATCGAAACAGGCTCCAGGCTCTGAGCCATCAGCCCAGAGCCTGATGCAGGGCTCGAACTCACGGACCGCAAGATCGTGACCTGGCTGAAGTCGGACGCTTAACCGACTGCGCCACCCAGGCGCCCCTACACTGATTGATTTTTCAAATGTCAAACCAACCTTGCATTCTCAGGATAAATCCCAGGTGGAGTATGTACACATGATTTATAATCTATTTAATATATTGCTAGGTTGGATTTGCTGGTATTTTATTAAATATTTTTGCAGCTATATTCATAAGAAATATTAGTCTGTTTTCTTTGTTTGGTAACAATAGAGATTTTAGAATTCAGAGGGTAAAGAACAAAGACAGACTGTGTTCCAAATTTCCTAACCAACCAACCAGGGAGATTTCTTCAAATGACAGGACAAGGCAGAAAGAGTGAGAAAGGGTATACTGGATTTCATGTTTATCTTTGACACTTACTTTTAAGGCTTCCTTAATCCATTCTATCCCATTTATAAAATTAAGTTTTGAATTGGCTAAAGAGCCAGAAATTAAGCTTTGTAGCTGTGTGAGATCTGCTGTAATGCTAACATCAGGGGAAGAATGCACCTTTGTATGGACTGACTTTCTCCATCCACTTTGTTCCTTTGTATTTAAGGAATGGTCTATGAAAAGCCTTTTAAAACTAACATGGGCCTGACTCATTATGTTTGCCAAAGTCAGATTCCAATAAATGTTAGGATTCCTTTTCTAATCACTACTGTAACTGGAATTAGCAACTGAAGCGAGATGCTAGCACTGCCAACATTTCTGAGGTCATAACGACAAGGTATTATTGACTTAATTCCTCCAATGCAAATTGTGTACACACACACACACACACAACATAAAAACACATAAACGTACCTCTGTGTGTGTGTATGATTAAGCAAAACTCTACTTTTGTATTATGAGATAGTTCACAGAGACCATCTGGATAGCTCAGGTCTATGACATTGTGGTACTGGGTTAAAAAATGAAATAGGATGTGGAAG